AGACCTGCGACGAGACGGTGGAGGCCAAAAAGTTAGTCGTGGATATGGTGTTGTCGGCGCGGCGGCTGGGGCACCTCAGCAGTCCTCCCCCCCTCCCCCCAACCGCCACATTGTCACGGACAATTACCGAGTACCGTCATCGTCACCATCATCTCTGTGTGTCGCACTTCGAAGAAAAATGTCGGTGAGGATTGCTAGAAAATTCTTCTTTGATCGTACGACATTTTTGCGACTGCTTTTGTAAATAATCGACAAGCAGGGGTTTCTCAAATTTTCGATCTATCGTTTTGATCCCGCTTTTAAATGTAGAATGTAGGTATCATTTGGCTTGTAAATATTCGTAAACATCAAAATTTGTATTAAAACAAATTGTTACGTCAATCGACGCGCAAAGATGTATTTTTTTCACAGTGCAGGCAGTCGAAACGTAAAACGCGAGGGAAGCAGAGGGAGAAATCAGAATTATTATGTGAATGTGAGCTCGCGGCCGCCTGCACCGCCTCGCCCTACCTCACCTGAGACCTCCTTCCGCCCCGCCCTGCCCCGCCCCGCCCCGCCGGTACACGGTGCGTTTGATCGGGCCGCTCCAGCCCCGCCCCGCCCTGCACCGTCATCCACGCCGCCACCATACGGACACCTGTGGCGCTGACCCGCGGCAGGGGAAGTCCCGGAGCGGATGACTCCTCGCGGCTGCTCTCCCCATTCAGACGGCCGGCTGCGGATGTGTGAATGCGGATGCTGAGACCCCCCCCCCCTCTCATTTCTCCATATCTCCCTCACACACACGCACACAGTTTATTTTTCTGCAGAAGTAGTGCTTTGGTGCATAATGAAGCATTTCTGGGTCTGGCCACCCTGTAGAAAGGGGACTTGGGTTTTAAGGATAGTGAAATAAAGACCATCTAGCTTTGCTTAATAAATATAAAACATTATTTCTTTATTTATTTATTTATTTACATAGTTTTGCAAGTAAAAAAAAAAGCAACATTCATCCTGTACACACGAACACACGCGCGCATTCAAATTTAGGTAAACTTTACAATGCGACATGACAGGAAAAGCAGAGAAAAGATATCCTACACACGATAAATTACAAATTATGACTGAAAGTCAGTATTGGCACACATGGTTTGTACACACTTTTATACAAACGCGTTACTAGTTAATTTGTGACCTGGTTCTCTCAAGTCAAAGTAACTAACGATCATTTCCTTAGGCGATACAATATGAACTGGTGGCAGACGTCCGTCTAGATAACACGCGACAAGCACCGTGCACAGAGAATGGAGTACAATAATGTAGAAGGAAATTCGAAGAATGAGCAATTTCACAAGAAATGAGCTTTCGCAAATAATCGCAACTTTTATAAATAGTAATTTGGCGATAAAAGTGAAGCGATGAGGCGGGCCATTGCACCTCGATGCCCTGCTTCTGCTTATTTACAACAATAAATACGCACTGCAAAGCAGCTGATTAGAAAACTAGAGAAGAGGAAGAGACTTGCGAGCAGCGCCGCTCACTCACACTCACACATACACTTAAAAGCTTTGGGGGCACACATCAGTCATACTTATGACAGAAACACAAGCCATGCCTGAAATCCACACAACAAGCTCTGTACATACAACTAGGTGTTTACACAAATCGTGCAATAAGTACTATACATGTCGCGATAGCGCTGATATGTTCCGAATTTACATTCTCTTCTTGGTTGGTGGTGAGCTTTCACCCGTAAAGAGGCACACCGCCTCAAAATGCTCACCAGCATTATTGTCCAGCCACAGGACTAACTACGTTCAAGTTATCTAGGATGATTTAAAAAAAGAAGTCTAGTAGAAAGAGGTAAAGCAGAATTCATTCATTGACAAAGCAATAATTTAAAAATACTAAATCCCAGTTCAGCAGATGTGCCAATAGAAGAAGACTAACGTCATGAACTGATCGGCACATTTACAGCACTCGGGCCGCGCAACGCAGACACACATACACAATCACACCGTCAATATTTACAGTTTGAAAAATAGATAGTAAAGACCCTAAGACATTCGCTTCTTTTCTTACACACGTAGACACACTCAAAAAACGTCGTAATCGTATCACAACAATCCCTCTTGTTTTCCCCACCTCGTACAATAACTCACCGACCATTAAAACGGGTCGGAGACACGAAAACGCGAAGGTTGAGCATCAAATTATCGAGACCTTTTTGGAGTGCGCAAAATCAGTCTATGTGTTGGGGACTCGAGCATGATCACGCCCGGTGGTTGCTGTGGTGCTTGTGCTGCGGGTGGTCCGCCCTCGCGTGCTGGCCGCCGTTGTACTGGAAGTTGACGTGCTGGTCGGCGAAGCGGACGTAGCTGCCCGACGCGTCCGCGGCGCGCGGTGGCTCCTCCTGGGTGCCGTTGAAGTACAGCGCCACGTTCCTGGCCGGCACCGCGCTCTGCGCCTGCTCGTGCGCGGCGGCGGCGTCCTGGGCGCCGCCGAGACCCAGCGCGCTCAGGCCGGGGACGTCGATGCCCAGGCTGGGCTGCACCTGCGCGCCGCTGAAGCCGGCCAGGAACTCGGCGTGCGGCCCGGGGAGGCCCTCGAGCAGCTGCTGCGACTCGGCGGCCGTGGCGGGCGACTGCTGCTGCTCGATGGCGGCCAGGATGTTCTGCAGCAGGCCCTCGGACAGCACCTGCTCGTGCGGCACGTCCACGTCGCGGCCGCCCGCCGACTGGATCTGCAGCGTGTAGTTGCCCTTGGAGCCCTGGATGGGGATGGTCTTGACGGCGCTCGCCGAGCTGCCGCTCTGCTTGGCCACGGCGGCGTCCGCGTCCACGTCCTGGTGCTTGGCGTCGCGCGCGCCCGCCGCGCTCAGCGCGTTGAACTGCACGGCGACCGCCTGGTGCTGCGAGGGCGCGCCGTACAGGTTGCCGCCCGAGTAGTCGCCGCCCGCGTCCTCGGCGTGCTGTTGCTGCTGCTGCTGCTGCGCGGCGTTGGGGTTGACGAGCGAGGGGTCGTCGATGGGCTGCGCGTACGCCGAGGACGGCGCCGACGCGTCGTAGCCGGAGGCCGACGGCAGGCCGTAGTCCTGGGAGGGCGGCGCCGGCGCCTGGAAGGACTGCGCCGACAGCCCGCTGTAGCCTGTGGACGCCGCCAGGTCCAGGCCGCTGGGGAACTGCAGCTGCTGCTGCTGCTGCTGCTGCTGGTGGTGCTGCTGCCCGAGGTCGTAGCTCAGGGACGGCTGGATGGAGTAGTCGCCGCCGCCGGTGAGGGCAGAGAGTGGCGAGCCCAGCGACGACTGCTGGTAGGACGTGGACGCCGTGGAGCCGTGGTCCTGGACCGCGGGCGGGATGTAGGTGTTGCCCTTGTACTGGTGCTGTTGGTGGTGCTCGTTCTGGACCGCGTCCGCGATGGACTGGATCAGCCCCGCGGGCACGGGCGCGCGGTGCAGCACGGGGTGCTTGGGCTGCGCGAACGGCAGGCCGTAAGAGTTGCTGGGCACGCCCTGGCCGCCGGGCCCGCCCTGCGGCGCGTAGCTCTGCTGCTCGGGCGAGCCGTACGACTGGCTGGGCGCGGACAGGTCCGAGGGGCCCGAGGGCGCCGACGGGAACGACGGCGGCGGTGGAGGGCCGTCGTAGCCGCCGCCCCCGCCGCTGGAAAAGCCTCCGCTAGAAGAGCCGCCGCTGGAAAAGCCGCCGCTGGAAAAGCCGCCGTCGGAAAAGCCGCCGTTGGAGAAGCCGTGCGACGAGCCGCCGCTGCTGGATGACGAGGTGGAGGTGAGGGACAGCCCGGCGACGGGCTGCCAGCCGTCGTACTTGATCTCGGGCGGCGTGGGCGGGGCGTTGCCGCCACCGTGGCCACCGTGGCCGCCACCGTGGCCAGACGGGCCGGACGGCGCCCCGTACTGAGAGCTGGGTGGCCCGTACTGGCTGGAAGGTGCGCTCGGCGGAGGCCCGTACTGCGACCTGGGTGGGCTGGGCGGAGGTCCGTACTGGGGCTTGGGTGGGCTGGGCGGAGGTCCGTACTGCGGCTTGGGAGGACTTGGTGGAGGTCCGTACTGGGGCTTGGGCTGGCTCGGGGGAGGTCCGTACTGGGGCTTGGGTGGGCTAGGAGGGGGTCCGTACTGGGGCTTGGGAGGGCTAGGAGGAGGTCCGTACTGGGGTTTGGGCGGACTTGGTGGAGGTCCGTACTGTGGCTTGGGCGGACTAGGAGGAGGTCCGTACTGTGGTTTTGGTGGGCTTGGAGGTGGCCCGTACTGTGGTTTAGGCGGCCCGTAAGATGGCTTAGGTGGTCCGTAGGACTGCTTGGGCGGGCCGTACGACGGTTTAGGCGGGCTGGAGTAGGACGGTGGCGGTGGCCCGTACTGCGACTTTGGCGGAGGCCCGTACGATGGTTTGGGTGATTGGTAGCTGGGGCGAGGCTTGGGTGGCCCGTACGACGACTGCGGTCTCGGAGGCGGTGACCCGTACTGCTGCCTTGGAGGCGATGGCGGCGGCCCGTACTGCGGCTTGGGGGGCCCGTAGCTGGGGCGCGGCCTGGGCGGCGGTGGCCCGTACGACGCCGACGGTCGCTGGGGCGGTGGCGGCCCGTACTTGTCGTCTGGCGGGCCGGACGGCGGCGGCCCGTACGAGCTGGAGGGTGGCCCCAGCGGCCGGCCGGGGATCTGGCCGGGCACGCCGTACACGGGCGGCGGCGAGCCCCCGCTCTGGGCCGGCGCCCCGTACGATGCGTCCGGGGCCGTGGGCGGCGCGCCGTACGCAGACGACGGGAAGTTGAGCGAGGCGTCGCCGAAGACGGACGAGTCGAGCGCCGTCAGCGGCAGGCCGCCGCCGCCGCCGCCGGCCGACGACAGGCCGTTGCCGAACGAGCCGCCGGGGCTGGCGTCGAGCGCCGACGGCGGGAACAGGTCGTCGTGGTGGCCGCCGCTGTCGGCGGGCACGGCGGGGGCCTCCCGGCGCTGCGCCGCGTGCTCGTCGGCGACCGGCTGGGCGGCGGGGGCCGCGGCCGCGCCGGGCTGCGGCTCCGGGGACGTGATGGCCGCGCACAGACCCGCCAGCAGCACAAGGTGCGACACCTGCAACAGCAAACGACACACACCTGTAAGTACTATGCAAACGGTTTATATTCTACCGGTCGATTCATAGAAGACGCAGGAGCGGGCAGGGTTGCCTACCCGCTCTGCCCGTAATAAGGCGCCATAGCCCCTTGGGTAGGCAAACCAGCAAGCACCTGCGTCTTCTCTGAATCACGCGGTACATACTTGATGTACTTTTTTGAAAAGGAGGAAAACTCGACGGCGATCCTATTAGTTTCCCCTGCGCTCGCAAGCGGCATCACCAAAGCACCACCGTCCCGCAGCAGAGATTCCAAGAGACGCATATCCGTGAGCCGCCGAGTTTGCAGACTGTGGGGACCCCAGAGAGGCGGATGGAGGTATGTCGTTTGTGACAGCCTCGAGAGAGAGGGGAGCGAAGGGGGAAGACATGTGTCGTGGAGGAAGAAGACTTTCCAGCGGGAGAGTGCGCCGCGCACGAGCCATACCACACCAAAAAAAAAGAAAGATATGTAAGAAATAAAATCGTTATGAACGACAGCGATAGGATGGCGATGGCAGTCTATGACAGCCGCCGTGATTAACAGCTGGAAATGAGAAGTGGCACGGTGGCACGGCGGACGTGTCGG